ACATTATATCACGCTACGCTTGTCTAATTATTTGTTTTAGATTTATGAACCTGACCCAGTACGTAAATCATTTATTTATCGATAGTAAATCTTGCAATATATTTTTTAAATGCGAAGGTAAAAAGACACGGAGATTGATGATGATACAGACGCCAACGCCGCCCTCGGGAATTTTTTGAACATTAGAAATCAGCAGTTTGTCTGCCATCCGCCAGGTAGCGCAACAAAACACCCAAACAGTTTTTAATTGTTTTTAAAATTAGCTAAGCTCTACACCTATTAAAAAACCAAAGCAAGATCATTGTGAACATTTAGTACATCGGAATGTGTATCTATTCCAAACAATAAATATTATTAGATGCCAGTAAATCTGTGTGATGTCTAAAAAAGATATGCGTCAAAAACAGGTAAGTTTGAAGGGCTCCTGGAGCGTTATGACTTTGAAAATGAAAAAAAGCCATCGTCCACCTCTTGGGCAACCATTGTAGCTCTAAATGTTATAAAAGATTTTATCATAGTTTAATTATTTCCTAAGTGGCATTTGAAGTACCATGACTCGAAGCACAAAAAAGTGCTACGTTTGATATAAAATATCTAAACAAAAAAATTTTACACAACATTAAATGTTTTTATGCATATTACCAATTATAAGCACTACATCTGTAGCTAATTTCATTGTCCTAACGGTTGTCATTAAAAACATATTTGTGCTGAAATATGTCAATTTTAGGACAATATTTGGAGGGATGAAAAAAACAAAGTAGTGCAAATACCAAAAAAGTGTATCGTCACATTCTGCTCCGACATCATCTTAACAAAACTGCTATATTGGAACCGTGTTATCTTTAATGGATCGTTCGTAAAACATGAACTAGCGGAGCAAGTGAGGGTTCGCGCCATCATATTCGCAACGCTACAAATGCGCATGAGCAGTATAAACCAATACACACATAATATCAAATGAAAGAGGATTGCATTGCCTTTCGAATGACACCAATCCCAGAAAACAGGATTTAAAAGGAGATGAGTAATGACCTGCCAAAAAGTATCTAAATTCCCAGATTCAGTGGGACCGTGGCCTTAAGCTGACAGTAGAAGCTCCGCCTTCGGCGCGAGCTTTCTGCCCTTGCCAAGACAGTGTGAACGCGCAGACACGCGCAAACGAAGCGCTGCAAAAGCCAGCAAGCTCGCGCTGAAGGGGGAGCTTCTAGTCTCAGCTTTAAGGTGAACGGTGCATCGCATTTGCGGTTCGTTCATGCTAAGGTGACACTAGTTACTGGAGACAAATTAAAAAGCCAACAGATAAAAACAACAAAATGTTTGCAGGATACAGCGGCGTTAGCGGCTTCCGTATGAACCTACTTGAAAGGGACTTGAAAGCAACGCCCTGGCTGCTTGCATGAGCAGGTGTCGTCGCACATTTTCCTTTGCCCGTTCCTCCTTAATCAAACGCGGCTGTCTGCCGCTTGGTGGGAAAAGAGCATGCGCATGCGCAAAACAATTAAAAAAAAAATCTATCACGTTTTCGCTCATGCCATCTTCTTATGCAGGTCCTTAATTAATAATTATTCTTCGTTTTAGCTTAAGTCCAGAAGCAGCCAACGCTCCGAAGGAATGGGCCTAATCATGCAGCATCAAAAGCGCAAATTACTGGGCCTTTTCTTGTTTATGATTGGTTGAACGCTGATAAAACACGTACGTAGACATGACGGTGCGCTTTTGACGCTGTCTGATTGGTCCGATCAGCTGGTAACGTTGGCGCGTCGGGACTTAAGGAGACACGAAGTATAGGGACGTGCCGATTCCGGATCGAACCGAATAGCACTGCGTCATTCCTAACCTTTGCAGTGGAAGGGAAAGCCACAACGCCACAACCACCGGTTTTCTTACGCCCCAGTCCCACTAGAGCGACATACAAAAACAACCGATACGAACAAGCCTCCAACACATGCAGCATTCTTGCGATGGCACCTTTGGTAGGCGTTTAGTCGTTCGGTCCTCGTGAAGTGCGTACCAGTGAACAAGTCTGCCAAAAAATATCCTCGCGTGTGTGATGCTCGTGTTTGAGCATAGCCTCCTTAATTCTACAAAATTTGTCAAATCGCCAAAAATCTGGTTTGAGACTTGTCGCTGTTGATCGTTTCTGTTTGTCGGGACTAGCGGGGGACCCGCACATCAAGAATGTTAACGCTAGCGATGAGATCACGCTAATCTATTGGAACAGATGTTGGAACCCCTCTGTCTTTAATACGTCCTTTTTCAACTAAAAATGGTTTAATAAAAAAAAAAGAAAAAAAGGAACAGCCGCAAAAAACTATATACAGATATACATGTTTGTGAGCGTAAAAGCGCGAAAAACAACGGACGAGTAAAAGAAACGAACAACACAGAGCGTTCTTTTACTCGTCCGTTGTTTTTAACGCTTTACCCTCACAAACATGGATCACCAACTAGCCCAAGTGCATACCCTTCTATCCTTTTATATAGATATACATATTTTAAATCAATATTTCTAGACAAGTGTTTGGTCCTAGAATTTGTAGCATGTTTTATGGTGAACGTTTAGGCATATGGGCCTAAATGCAAACGGTTCTCAGAGCCGTTTTGATAGTACTACAGTGGCTTAAAGGGGGTAGTGCAGTTGCCGCGTAGCCTCCTCCACGCATCGGGAACGGCCGCTTCTTGAAAGACGGTGTAGGTGGCGCTTTGATCCCCAGCTCCGTTAGGGTACCTCAATTGGCCGGCAGAAAGAGGCACCCTAACACGCTACATAACTAATATAAACACCTCAAAAACAATTCTTTGTTTCCAGTGAACTTCCAACGACATGATTTGTGTTTGAATGTGAATAAAAATGTGAAACTAGCAGAGGACAGTGTAGTCGACAGCTGAATATCGGCCGGAGCGGGCTGGAGCCAAGCTGACCAAGCGGCCAAGCCGGAGCCATAGCCGGAACGACGGTGCTGCAAGCGCCAGCACCACCCGCGTCTCTCTTCCAACGCTGTGCCGCTTCTCCGGTTTCGTTCGTTACACTACCCCCTTTAAGCCACTGTAATATTACACTGAAAACATATTGATGCGGGTCACTATTTAAATAATTTATTTAAAAAGAAAAAAAAAAAAGCAGAGGAAGTTAGAAGCATTGCTTTCTACTCTTTTCTGTCTTTGGTGAAATTAAACGTCCCACACTTGTAAGCAGTGAGAGAGTGCAGGCGAGCTGGTATTTAATCGACATCTTGTAAACCCTGAGATGGGGAGCGATAAAGAAACGGGCGAACACAAAAAACGGACGAACACGTTTGAGATTTTGTTGTGTTCGTCCGTTTTTATCGTTCCCCATCTCAGGATTTACAAGATGTCCCACACTCTTTGAACAATTCTTGTACATAAACGTTCGTTCCATAGACGCACGGTCATAGAGCCAATATACCACCAATACACCAGATTGTTCCAAAAAAATTAAAAGTGTATTTCTAACCGAATAAATACAGTGTTCTACGTATTGCCAAACAAGCATTCTCCGCCCAAATATACGGCTGGCGGCCCGAACCATATGCGAAAGTTTCATAACTAATCGTTATCTCGGTCAGAAGTTATGGGTGGCTTTCTGAAACTTTCAACGGGAAAATAGCGCCCGTTTCTTCCCGTTTTCGGAAACTAGTGCTATTCAGCTGCATGCATTATGAAAGGTCCATTGGCCGCCTTCTTCCGATTGAAAATTTCAGAAAATTCGTTATAACTTTTCAATCGGGTAACCGTTTGTTCTGAAACTTTTACTTCTGGCTCGGACGGCTAAGGCTACATTGAGGCGGAAAATGAGCGTTCGGCGAAGCGTAGTTTATTTTTGGAATAAAAAAAAAAGAAGAAAAACGCTTTTTCTGTGTGTGTGTCGGAGAGGGGGGGGGGGGGGGCGGACACTTTGCACTTTGTTTCAGCTTTAGTCCAGACGCAACCGACGCTACAAGCTAATGGGATGAATCCAGCAGCATCAGAAAACGCGAGTCAAGGGTCCTTTATTGTTTATGATTAATGCAGCGATGACAGAACACGTACGTAAGCTTGACGAACAGCATGATGGCGCGCTTTTGACGCTGTCTGATCGGTCCCATCAGCTCCTAGCGTCGGCTGCGTCTCAACAGGAAACGGTCTATAGACCAACTCAACTCACTGACGTCACGCCACTGCTGGGGCGCTGTTGTCAGCGCCGCGCATGCGCAGATGATTCACTCCTCCCGAATTAGGTTTCTGCGCAGGCGCACTGCCCACACTTGGTGAAGGAAAGGCTTGCTTGTTTGTAAACACTGTGTTGGTGTATAGTTACAGCTTAGGAAAAGCTTGGCTTGACTGATAAATGATGTCCAGGCCTCTTGTGCCGTAATCCGCGCTTCGGCGTTTTTTTTTCTTTTTTTAGCTCGTCGTTGTTTTGGCTAATACCGGCCGCAATGTCGTGGGTTGAGAATGCTCAATAAGACGTCGCAAAACTCGCGTTCTTGTAGTCAATAAAACTATCGCATTATGTATAAGCAACTGATTTCTCTTTTGTAGTCTATTTAAAATGCGTTAGATCCAGTTTGACGTACATGATCGTATATTGTGCGCTTATTTCTCTTTTTTTTTTTTGCGCTTGAGTGTAATAACAAGCCTCGAAAGAACACGAGCGCCGTGACAATGCATTTTTGTCGCTGTTTGAGAGGCTAAAGTTCCTAGATAAGAGCTTCCTGGAAGTAGCGACATGTTTTTGAAACGCGGATTGCGTGACGGTGCAAGTTTTAGGAAGCGAATGACGCCGCACAGCCGAAGACTGAACTGAATGAACCTATTTCGTTCGAACGGAATGTCCTTTGTAATTTGTAGTGGTGGTCGTTACTTGCAAAAAGAAGTATCAAGAGACTTTATGGGTGGCTCCACGTGATCGCGGCGTTGGCAGTGGTTGAATTTAAAGTGAAAAGGGGAAAAGCTCTATGAGCGCGCCTCCGACTCTCCCCTCGACGCCTGTGCAGTCAACTGAAGATCCAGCGGATCCTGATGCACAAGCACCTGTGCACAAGCCTGTTGCTGTACGGCATCGCTAGCATCGCCATCGACTACGTCCTCATCTGGAACGAGTTCCCCGGTCCCGGAAGATTCGAGATCGTCGCGTCCAATCCCGTAAGTGAACTGGAATAGAAACCGACTGTAGTTTGTAGCATGTTAAGAGCGGGACAAATTCTTCCCACGAAGTTCATTGCTCGCAATGATTCGTTGTTTTCTCCCCTCCACTTTCGCTTCCTCTCTTTTCGCCCTTCTAAAAAAGAAAAAGTAATGAATAATGTAGGAGGGGTGTTTACCGGCTGTTCTTAAACTGGAACTGATTACCAAAACCTGAGCCTTGCGTCATCGTCAGTGCCACAAGTGGCAAACGTTCAAAAGCTCAACGTAATTGCGTGGCAAATCTAGAACCGTAGTGCGTCTGCTAGCTGTGAGATGTCGACGCGTCAAGGACGGGATAAGCAGACGCAAAGGGCCCTGTGGTAATTCACCATTAAAAACGTTCGTCATGTGACGCAAGCAAGCGTCCGGCTTAAACGATATTGGCGACGCGAGCGATCGAAAGCGTCGCTGTGGTCGGCCTTCCGCGATTGGCCGAATGCTGACTATGACGTCAGCAAAGGATTTCTCATCGACGGAAATAAGAGAAATGGAAGAGCTTCCATTCCAACGGTGTTGGTAGTGTTCCTTGAAGATCGCAATGATTTCAAGCTTCTACCATGCTCATTACAAACACCATCGAACTTGTTGTTCGCAAAGTAATGACGTCACGAAAGGTAACCATAGGAGGGCGCCACTAAAACATCTCGCCGCTAATAGCGTACATCCTTCATATATTAATTCATCTCTATTTACAGCTCTTATCTCTATGTAAGTATATCGGCTGCACCGGGGACCGGGAGCCAATCGCTGGTGCCATTGGCATCCATTTAGGAAATGCATGAACTCCATCCAATCCTTACACAACTAGGAGCATAACGTTACAGAACCAACTTGGGTGTTCTTTGGGGACGGCTACAATTCTTTGAAGATCAGCAGAGGAGAGTTGACGGGGGCTAGTTTTGTAGGGATTGGTTGGAGTTCCTTTATTTCCTATGTTTTACCCAATCAGACAGATATCTGCCAAATGTTCAGGTTTAATTATTTACCTCTTGGCAGCCATTGCTTGGATGCACGGTGCTTGATTTCAAATGTTTTAACATGGCGTACGTTTAAAGCTGTAATATAAAAAGAAATCAGCGCAAAAGTGTAACCGGCATAAATAAAACAATATGAAAGTGACATCTCAAGCGTCACGTGAGCGAGTGATATGGCGGTGGCTATCACGTGACCAACGTAAACTACATTTGGCGGGCCATGTACAGTGATGTCTCGCTAATATGGACACCTCCGTTCCCGTAAAAAATCGTCCATAATGTGAGTTGTCCATATTAACGAGACAATAATGCACGTATTTTCCCAGTTTGTCCCCGAAAGTGGTGTCCGTATAGCGGCTTATCCATATTAACGGAGTCCATATTAACGAGACATGACTGTATCGCCAACCAAATTTAGCGCACTTGGTAGACCACCACAGCAGGACTCAATCGCGCCTCACTCTAACTGGCTGGCGTAAGCAATCATGTGATTATAGAGACAGCCAGTGGAGTTCTCGTCGGAAGTCGTGGTATTTGGGTCTCGGAACACTAATTTACCGAGATTTACCGACCCAAAGCGTGTTTTAGTTCTACGTGTGACAGTTTTGTCAGGTATGGCCAAAGTTCTGTTTCATGTCTTGACGGCGTTTATGAACCTTTCGGTTGAACGTATAGTCTGTTGGGTTCTTCCCCGGCCCCCTGGTTTAGCGCTTTGTTCATACGCCGCGAGAAGTAGTTCCTTCAAGATTTGGTTGTTGGTGGAAAGAGCAATGCTTTTGGTGTTCAAAGGTCTACGTCTTGATGAGATAACATATATCTAATCAATATTTCTACTGCATATATCTTATTTTCTAGATAGAGGGAAACTAGTAATAATCCGCCAAGAGCCGATATATATATATATATTTTTTTTTTTTGCTACGGTTCTTGAGGTAAAAACAAGCACAATGCGGTTATTTACGCTATGCTTAGTGTATGGGAACTCTATTATGAAATTGTGTTTTGGGCACCGCCATTTCGGTGCTTTTATAGTGCAGAGCGGGCTCAATTGGCGATTGTTACAATAAAAAAATGGCTGGAAACTGGTTGCTAGGATAGGCGGCGCAAGCTACCGCCCGTTATAAAGCACACGATCGTTAGCATTCATCCATGCATCCATCCATCTATTTATCCATGGCTGAAGTGTCGTTACTTTGAAGCGTATCTTACTCAGTGGTCCTAGATTTATACCACTCCGGTACCGGAAGTGTAAGAAGGTACGCGGAAATAAGAGCAGTTCTAATTCGCGCATCTAAGATGACATAAAACAAAAACAGTACTCTGCACTCTCAACAAAAGGGTAGTCGTAGGGTACTACATTTGGGGTAGTCAGAAGCCGTCAAAGATATAGCTACCCCTCTTAGCAATACTAACGACCCCATGCGTAGTCACGCGGCATGAAATCAACAAGTAGTCACAGTGAGCCCCCCCCAAAAGCAACATGGCGGCTGGCAAGCGACAGTGGAGCAATACGAGTAAGGCCTAGCGAGCTGGACTGCTTTTTGCTAAAGTACGATACTCAAGTGCGCATGCCCCTTCGCTGCCTTCCGTGCGCACTAAAACACTCCAAAACGCGCCTCGAAGCACCGGCACCACGCCTATAACGAGGGGCGGCGATGTGAGGGGGGGCATTCGAGGGGGTTGGTCCGCGACTGCTTTTGGCGCGGCCGGCTGCATTTACTCCGCGGCCAGAAAACATTCAAAGAAGGAATCGTATAGCGACAAATGAAATGATGTCTTGAAGGAACAGAGGATCTGCTTGCTGTGCTTGCCGCAAGTGATCCGGCGTTTTCGGTTGACAGCGGCGAGGCGAGGCATCACCGATTCAAGCGGCGTCGGTTTCGATCGTTCAACGCTCCTGCTCACCTGTTAGCATTCGTTATCCACTTTCAAGTCCCTGGTAATCCCCACCACGTCTGTGCACGCACTATTCAACGCACGGAACACCGATTCAACTGGCTATGGGACTGATCCACTGATCCCACTGGGACGAGAGGCCGAGAGCCGAACCCTTTGTGGCTGCTCCGTGGAGCTATCGAGCGCCTCCATGCTGTTCACTCAAATAAGTAGACACATAAGCGCGACTCCTTGAATTGGGCGGCGACACGCGCCACCTAACGGACAGCGCTAAAACTAAGAAAAAAGAAACCAACAGTCTTTGCTCTGAGCGCGTCGCTTGACATGCACGTACTACATATTCAACACCACATTTCACACATACGCGACATGCAGACGCCATGCAATATTATACATGAACGCGGTCACAAACAGCACAAGGTACAACATAAGTTATTGTCACTTGACATTCCTATATACACGAGTAGTCGACACCACCAGCTTATATACTGCTGTATTTTCTGTGACCGATTAGGATGGTGACCACTGTCATAATTTGCATAAATACGAAAAGACTGTGCAAGATCTATCCGTATGTATTATTTTCCTCTACTGCCCTTTGGAAAGCGCTCGTATCTCTTATGTAATTCATTGAAAAAGTGAACTGCGCCTTATAAATCAAATTGAATAGTCGCTACACGCCACGTTTTGATCAGTTTCGTTTTCTCGCTTGCCTACACTTCGAGTATACAGAAGCCTGTTTAATTAATTGTATTAATTATCGAAACCAATTTCAGCTATCATAACTTTCTGAACTTGCTGATGCATTTTCTTTTCTCTTTTTACATATCCGAATGACTTCAGCGGCGGTTGAGTAAATGTTGAGTACACTGAGCGCGCGCAGGTGATTCTAGCGAAGCCCGTCCGCCGGTCCTCCCCGAAGCGTTGTTTCAGTTTTCTTCTTTTCGCTCGTGTCTTTCCAATATGCGTTCTATGCGCTCGCGCTCGCGCCAAGAGGACAGTGCAGAATTGCCGTTTTCGGGCCCGTGCCTTCACCTACAGCGAACGCGAAATACGTATGCTAAATTATCTGAAGCCTGGTTCAGACAGTTGCGTTTGACTGCGTTGCAGCAGTGAGAAACCAGGACATCCCTGCTGCTTATATCGCGTTCCAAGACGATTTCTTGATTGGATTCCACGCTTCATACGAAGCACAGATGTGCCGGTGAATCGCTTTCGGTTCTCGACGCAACGCTGTCAAACGCATTCAAACTCAAGTGTCTGAACCGGCCTCAAGCTTCAAAGAACGCCGAGAATATAGTTCTCTGCGCTGCACCTGCTGGCTTCTCCAGCAGTACCTTTTCTAAAAAAAAAAAAAAATCTAAACCGAATACTACGTGTATGTTTGCCAACGCCTTATTTTTGGAAATTTACTTGGAATCCTTTATATAAGTAACAGGAACGCGTGCCGAAAGGCCTGAAATCCTAGTCCCCTTCAAAGTACTCCACCTTGGATGACACACACTTGTTTGAAGCATTTTTTATCGAGTATGCTCGATAAAATGTGCCAAATGAGCCAGTGAAGGCGAATCATATATCCCAAGACAGAGAAATACTCAAATACACAGGCATGATCCCAGATATCTGTGTACGTTCGTCCTGTTCGGCCTCAGTCGTGGTGTTTAATGCTTAATACTGCACTGCACTTGAAAGCAAAAACAATTGTGTATGACAGGCGTGCAAGTTCGGCGGAACCGAGGAGGCCATTTGCAACTGATCTGCACGCAGAACTGACCGATCACACCTTTAACGAGATCACGCTCTTTACTGAGCCGCACAATAAAAGGTGACAAGAGTATCTCGTCCGGCGAACATTCCACTCAACTCACGCCTGTGCGTAACTTCCTGTGCTTTTCTAGAGAGTTGGTTAAATTCCTCGAGCACGACGCCAGCTGCCAACTGTTTACAAGCGGTACATGGTAAAACCCGCGACGGAACCAAAACGGACAACCGCGATACCTTTTATCTGCCTCGGGTTTTATTAGGTGCCTGCCAAGGTTGCCTGTACTCTTTTGCATGTTTGTTTTCTGCCAGTTTAGGCGAACTGAG